ATGGTCATGTTTCGCATTTGTCCTATCACCTGTGTAAATTATGTAGAGAAATTGGCATTATTTTGGTTGCCTTATTGCCCAATTCAACTCATATTTTACAGCCTATGGACGTAGCGGTTTTTCACAGCTTAAAAAGTGCCTGGAGTAGAAATGTATATTCTTGGCGAATAGAGAATAATGCACGTCGTTTAAAAAGAGAAGATTTTGGACCAATTATTAAGAAATCTATTGATGAGGCAGTAAAACAAGAGACAATAAGAAATGGTTTTCGCAAATGTGGACTATACCCATTTGATGAAAACGCCATTGATTACAGTCGACTTGTCAAAAATACTGCTCCATCATCTAACTCAGATTTGCCAGCAAGTTCAATAGGTTCATCAACATTACAAACTTCAAATAATTTTGTTGCACACTTTGAGGCACATTTGCGAATGGCAAAATTAAATGCATTTCAAAATTGCTATGGAGAGTGGAATGGGGATTTAGAAGATACAAGTTTATACAACTATTGGAAAAGCACTAGACAAATGTATTCAAATCCTCGCAATCATATGGTTCCTTCTCTGGAGTCTTTGCACTTGGGTGACTCTACGATAGATGCAAATAATTATACGCTTTCAGAAATTACTTTAGACTGGCCAAATGAGGACTTGACATTGGATGGAATTGAAGAACATAATACCTTAATACAGTGCTCAACGCCTGCGACAATGAACAGCAAAGCAACAAGCTCAAAAATTATTGATAGAGAAGATATAGAATATGAAATATTAGAATTAATTGATGAACAAAATGATACAAATTCAAGTACTGAAATAGCCAGGGATTTAAATATATACACTATTACAACTATGGAAAGTGCTGCTAATAATTTGTCCGAAAAAGAAAACACAACCAAAGAAAATAAAACAGTTCAGCCCTTACTTCTAGAAAACTCAAATAAGTCTGAAACAACTCCACCACGAACTCTTTGTACAGATTTACATAAGATGCAACCCTGTTTTCCGACCCCGTTCAAAAACGCCTTGATATGGCCAGAAACTCCTACAACTGATAAGAATAAAAAAATAGGTAAAAAGAAATTAATTCCAACCATAGCAACATGTGAAGAGTATATAGAACATCAGAGGCAATTAAACCAAGAAAAAAAGGATAAAGAAGAGAAGGCTGAACAAAGAAAAAAAGATCGAGAAATCAAAAAAAATAATGTAAGAAAAATAATAATAAGAAAAAGAAAAGAAAAGTCGCGACGAACTCAAAAGACCTCAAAAGAACTAAATGATGACAAGGAAAATCGTAATACAGAAAACAAAGAAAACAAAAGTACCATTTTAAACAAAGGCGATTTTGTGGTAATATACTATGAAGGTGAAAAGTTTCCTGGAAAAATACTCGGAACCTCTAATGATAAGACTGATCAACCAAAGTACCTAGTCAAAACTATGACTATGAGCGGTTTTGCAAATGGAAGAGTTAACTGGCGTTGGCCTGATAAAGACGATGTGTTAGATTATGATGCCAAAGATATAGTGCAAAAAATAAAACCACCAATTCCAGTAAATAAAAGAGGTGTATTTTCTGTACCTGATTTAATCTAGTAAATTTAAGGACTTTAAAGATTATTTACATTTGTTGATGAAATTGTTATTTTTATTTGGTGTTTAAATTTTTTATTTAGAGTTTGAAGTATATATTTACATAAAGTTTATATTTTCATTAAATAAGAAATATAGTTTAAAAAGAAAATTATGTATTAACCCTCTAGAGCTTATTGTTATATGATCTCATACTTTAAATATATTTTGAATGTGAAGTAATAAATATATTTATGCAGATTTAGGATTGATAATTGATATTGAATACATAAATTATATCCTCTTTGTTTCATATTTTTTATTTGATTTATTTTTTCATTCCAGTTTGATTTATTCATATCATTTCCAGTGTTACAATAATTACTGTAATTTTAATACCAGCTTTTATTTCATTTTTGTTTTGGAAGTTTTATAATCACTTATACTGTTCAAATTTCCATGAAAATATATTAAATGTGTTTAAAATTATATCAAAATATTATTTATCAATTAACCGTACTTTTCATAACCTACAAATATATTTATCAAGGCATTACGATCAAAAATGTATGCTTCGAGCGCTATCACGGAATAGTGTATAACGACTCCTGGCATTAGGTTCATGAACCGAATTTTATCACGGAATTAGAGACAAACGCGTGGTTCACCAAAATGCCGATTATTTCTATAAATGGCGTTCTACGACGAAAAATCTTGTTTTATAATAATCTCAAAGGTCTAATTAATAAAATATAACAGATTTAGTTCGTCCACTTTCCTATTTTCTCTAAAATTCGTCTTTAAAGTCAAACGTTTCTTAACATCCCGTAATATGGTACGTTTACCTTAACCTTCACTCCGGGATGCGCCACAAAGAATGAATTGTTCACACTACTTAAAACACGTGTTGTTTTAGCGTGAACTTGCTTATGTTGGTGCATGTCTACCAACCTTAGGTAACACGTAGTGTTACCATGATACCAACTATTACTAAACTATGACAGAGGCTGGCGACATGACTAACCACACAAAAATTAAAATAAACACATGTTTTAAAACATTAACACACGTATTAAATTAACTAATTTAATTAAATTAAATGAAGAATACGCCAGATTGTTGCTCAAACCAAAAAACATATTTTAAGTAATATAAATCGAAATCGAAATGAAACTAATGGACCGATTCTGCCTTAACATGGCTACGCTCAGTTATCGCACTTGCATGGTAGCATAACATGCCTCGCGTAAGTGTATGTTGAAGATTAGTTATTCTCGGCGCACCGATTTTATGAGAGTGAATCGTGTTGTGGCGTAACATGAGCGAACACAGTTTTTGGTTTTTTGATGTTGGCTCTCTGTGTTTGTACTCTCGAAATCGGCAATAATCTATCTCTACGGTGCTGACGCGAACGGTTTTTTCAATTTTGGATATACTAGTACCGATACTTTCAGTCGAAAAGCGTTGTTCATGATTTTTTTTTTTGGTAAATATATAAAATTATATACATTCAAAATGGCCAGTGATACGCAAATGAAAAGGGCAAAAAAAACTAATCCGGCGCAGTATGAAATATACGTTGATTTTTTAATCAGCAACCCACAATTCGTTACTAATAAATTAAGCCCCTCGTTCGACAAGGATTATTTCAGAGCAAAGTGGGAGGAATTGACCAATTTGTTAAACTCATGTGGTCATGGGCCTCATAGGCCTACTGAATCCTGGATGAAGGTAAAAGATTTTGTTGCTAGTATGTTATATTTTTGAAAATGATAATTCATATGTTATTAAATCAATATAGATATTTGCGGGTTGGAAAAACCAGATAAAGACCAAAGCAAGGAAACAAAAAGCTCATACTTTAGCAACAGGAGGTGGGCCTGCATTGACCAATTGCTTGACAGAGGTCGAACAAAAGGCCTTAGGTGTTTGGGGTCTTGGGTCAATTGATGGCCATCCAGATCTGGAAATGGATATTGGACTAAATGTAATTTCATTAAATATATATATATATATATATATATATATATATATATATGTATATATACATATACACATATTAAATTTTTTAATAGTATCCTTTCAATGAATCTGTCAGCAACGAGGCTGAACTTGATTCTGTTAATGTTGATCCTGAGGTAGAAGTTATAATGCCACCTCCAGAATTTTTAGATGATGCCCCTAGACCACCAATGCAGAGACGAAGAACTCCTGGCAATAGTAAGTATAATTTTTCTTCTATTTTAAATATTACTTATATTACTATGTGATACATTCTGCATTTCATTATTTTAAGATGAATTAAATCACCTCGTAAACTCAATGGAATTCGTATTGAAAAGACAAACAGAGTCTCTTACTAACATGATGGAGAAACAGACAGAGGCGCTGCAATGCATAGCCGATCAATTGAAAATTCTCAATGATATATTAAAAAATAGATTTAACAGCCAATAAATTTTGTTTTATATTCCTTTATATATATATATATTTATTTATTTATTTAAAATAATCACATTCATGTACCTATAAAAATAAAATCTTTTTTTTAAGTGAATAATATGGTATTAAAAATATCTTCTGGCATAAGAATTTCTGATATTATATGCCATATTATCTGCCTCATTGTATACTTCTGAAATATTAAAATCAATTAATTTTAACTTCACATTTGAAATACAATTATTCGGTATCTAACCATTTCCACTATCATTACTATATTCCGTCAGTTCTTCATCCAGAGGAATATTATTTTCTCTGCATATATTATGCAGAGTAAATACTGCATATACAATTTTTCCTGCCACATCAGGTGTATAATGCAGTGTCCTATGACGATGCAAACATCGAAAACGACTTTTAACAACACCAAATGTTCTCTCTATTACATTGCGAGTTTTTTTGTGGAACTTATTGGATTTCTCCTGGGTAGAGCCTACTGGTGTCCTATATGGTGTGAGTAGGCAATGTTCCAATGGGTAACCTGAATCTCCTGCAAATGTACAACTAATATATATTTTTTTCCTTATTTGATTTGTGATATTAAATATATTCTTGAATTGCCCAATAAACATGTCCCATCCTCAGCATTACGAGTTAGCAGGGCTCTGACTGCCGAAACCTTCCAAATGGCTGCGTCATGAGTGGAGCCAGGATATCTGCTGCTCGCAAACAATATCCGTTCATCGGCATCACATATCTAATATTATTTATTATCATGTTAGTCTTCAAAATTCTTAAGCAAAATAAAATAATACTACTTCAATATTAATTGAGTAATAGCCCTTCCTATTCATATAAATAGCAGCTGGTGCCACGGGGTGATCTTTTTTGGGAGCCACTATACTTACGTGTGTGCAGTCTATGCACCCAATAATGCCAGGCATGCCAAACTTCGTATAAAATCTGTTAAATAGCAACATATTACAGACCATGTTCAATGTACACGAAGTGGTGTAACATATACCTCTTTTTATTTTCATCTCTTTCTGATGAGGTTTTAGGAAAATTCACATACTTTGGTGTAGCATGCTTTATAATTAAATCAGTCACTGTTTTAATGCAGCGACTGACTGAAGGCTGGCTCATAGAATTTAAATGGCAATTGCCTACATCAGTCTGATATGAGCCATGACCAAAAAAATGAAGCGCTGCAAGTACCTATAATGAAATTTCAGTTATTAGTATTTCAAAAAAATTAATTCATTTTAATTTCCAATACCTGCAAATAAAAAGGGATACTCCATGATGCTGTATGAGTCTCCGCATGTGGTTCCAACAGTTCTATTAAATCTTTCATAACATTTTTCGTTAATCGAAATTTTTTTATAAAAATTTCATCACTCACTTCCCATATTATCTGCATCTCTGAGATACCTAAGGGCGTATCTTTGCCTGTATCTAAAATGTTGTGGCATTTAATAATTTTAATACTTTGAGTAATACATTCATTACAATAACAGTATGAATTATATTAAAATTCAAACATACCTTCTTCTCCTACTATCTGCTGCCCAAATTATTCCAAAAAACGCCATATTAACAATTTGAAATTCACAATAAAATCTAAACCAAACCTAATAATATCACTTTGCTTACATTAACAATAACCTCAAAGAAGCATGTTAAACGCATAAATGTCAAAATAGCAAATGTCAAATCTGTTCATAGTACAACTTCTCGTCAATGTTATAGCGATAAGTGCGAGTTTCTGACTACGTTTATTTTCAGAGGGTCAGCGTAACATTAATGTCATTAATCATATGATAAAACACATACCGCCGAGAATAACTGTTACACTTATAATGACATTTTAAACGACATAAGTGTGAACTTGTCGTAAAATTGAAACCGAGAATCGGCCCATAAATCTTCTGAACAAGAAGTAAGAAGTAATAATTATATAGAGAACAGTAGAAATACTTATGAAGGTTCTAGTACATTTTTAAATCAATTGGATACTAACTTGGAGCAACAACATTTTGAAAATAATGCCACTTCAGATATTTTTGTTTATCAAAAGATTGGTGTTACTATCCATACATACTGCCTTTGCCGAAGATATACGACCTTTAGAAAATAATGCCATTTCAGATAATTTTTTGGCCTCTATGATACTGTCCATATTTTTTAGCGGAAGATATATCTTGGCAAAGAGAGACAATTTGACTTTGAATACTGTAAGTACACTTTTAAAAATTTTGCTTAAGCAAGGTCACAAGGACCTACGTAGGTCCTTGGCTCAGGTAGATATTGGCATCAGCTGGCTTTCCATTGCCATGTTGTACACCAGCCATAAATGGCTCGACTTTCTCATAAATATCTAACACTAACATAATAGGCCAAAAACTGCTATTTGAGCTGTTTGATAATGACATTCCATCACAATTTATTTGTAGGAAAATGTTCTCTGGACATTCTAAAAAATGTTTCTTTATCGAGCCAAAAATTCCATTTTCCACACCAAAATGCATATAAAATCCCCTATTCATTTTTTGGATAGCTTTTGTTGCATGTTTTGGTGTTCCCAATAATGTTCGAGCATCCACAGGTCCCATACAGCACGGGTCAAACAATGGTCGACCTGTTTGGTACCATTTACAGCCTACCGGGTTATTATAAGCCCATTATGGGCCAATTTATGACGCAGTGGGTTTAGACCCATACGTTACCCGCCGGGTCAAACAATGGTCGACCTACTCTGACCCATTACTCACCGAGTTGTTATGGGCAAATGAAATATGTATTCAAATATACCGCGCATGCGCATACGCGTGGGCGGCGTTTGCGCAACTAGCGCACAGATGGCGGCACTTATGTTGTTCGGCATTTGTATTTCTTTGTCTGTTCTCATGACTGTCATAGATAAACACGATGAACAAGTATAACCTGAGTACTATATACGTATACTTATGCTAATAAAATTCTAAACAATATTAGAATATAATATATTCGTAATTTGTTTGTTGTTTGACTCTGTAATTTGTCAAAAAAAATTCTATAAATAAATATGTCTGATAAAAAAATTCGCAAACACATTGCGACTGTGTCAGATAGACATTTTTATAGAAGACTTTTTTGGGAAGTGCAGAAATTACGTTCGGAAAGTGTTTTGCAGAACTCTGAATGCGTAAAGGATTGCCTAGTACTAGTGCTTTTACAATAGATAATATTGAAACTGCGACTAATGCTTCTATTGGAGATGACTTTGAAGGACCGTCTTCTTGCCAGGCAGAGTTACAGGGTGATGTTGAAACAAATGATTATATTACTCTTTCATATAGCGAGGATAGTTCCAATGAAGATATAACTGAAGTTTTTGATGCAAGACAATTTTTAGCAGACTGGGTTGTGGATTGTCAGATACCTCATAATGCTGTATTCGCACTACTTAAAGGGCTAAAACTTCATGATTGTTTCAGTGATTTACCAGCAGATAGTAGAACACTTCTGAAAACAAAAAGAACTGCTGTATCAAAAGTTGTAAGTCCAGGTGAATATATTCATTTTGGTTTATTAACTGGATTGAAAGATTCTATTGATAGGTTGAAATTGATATCTTCTATCATTGAATTAGAAATTAATGTTGATGGTTTGCCTCTCTCGAATTCTTCGAACATGTCAGCTTGGTCTATTAAGCACTGAGGGTTTTGATCACAATGGGAAACAATATAAGGTACGCATCAAATATTTTGTTTGTGATACTCCCGCCAAATCATTTATATTGCAGACAAAGGGACACACAGGCTGCTTCTGTTGCTCGAAATGTCTTGCTCGTGGTTCAAATATTAATCGCAGAATTTGCTTTCCAAAAATGCAATCACCTGCAAGAACAGCTGAACACTTTCGAAGCTTAGAAGATGAACACTACCACAATGGCTATACGAGATTGCTTGAAATACCGTACATTGGTTTAGTTGCTAATGTACCACTTGACTATATGAATTTGATTTGTTTAGGAGCAGTTAAGAGATTGATGCTTTTGTGGACTGAAGGTGAGCTTCCAATTCGTTTGCCATGTGCTAAAACTAATGACTTTTCCAATTTTTTATGCAGCTTAAAGATTTATATATCCAAGGACTTTGCTAGGAAGCCTCGATCATTGAAATATGTGAGACCATGGAAAGCTACAGAATTTAGACAATTATTATTGTATAGTGGTCCAGTAGTTTTGAAATCTCGTCATATTTCAAATGACTTTTATAAACATTTTCTTACTTTACATATTGCTATTAAAATTTTATGTAGCAACACGTTATTAAATGATCTTTTAGATTATGCTCAGCAACTACTTCATCATTTTGTTGAAAGATTTAAGGTTTTATATGGAGATCATTATGTAAGTCATAATATACATAACATTTTACACTTAGGTAATGACACCAGAAGTTTTGGTACACTTGATTCATTTAGTGCCTTTAAATTTGAGAATTACATGCAGGTCTTGTAAAAATACATACGGAAGTCAGAGAAACCATTGCAGCAAAGTTATGAAAGATACTTTGAGGTAAAAGAACTTTTTATGGAAAAACATGTAAGGCCTGTAGCCATGCTTAGAGCTTGTGAGATGTCTATGCATTTCGAAGGACATTTGATAGAATATTGTGGTAAACCTCAGTATAAGGTTGTATATTGTTCAGATTTTACATTCAATATTAATAAAAAGGCTGATTCATTACGGCACCAGGTTTTAATGAATAGGCTTAATAAGCAGTGATGCCAGTGTGATATGAAGGATGATTTACCTGATTATACACTGGCAGTTTATAATAAATTATCTGTTCGGACAGAGGCAGAACTGCTAGATGTGGAGCAGCTATTGACAGATGTGAGAATAGCAGAGATATCGCTAAATATGATGTTACCCAATGGATAAAAGTGGACAAATCAATTATATATACTGCTAAATATACATATACCGTCATGCCCATGACAGATTTATTTGCAATTTTCCGTAAGTTGAAATATATTTTACATATTTCGAAAATGTCAACTAACATTTTTTATTTGATAAAATGAACCTGTAAAACTATAATTCAAATTTTGTTATTTTCAGTGCTTTAGAAGATGGTGAACCCAACGCGAATAATTAGTTTAAATTATATAAATAATAATAATATTATACATAGAAAATAAAATAATAGGTTTTAGGATAATAATCACCAAAAATTTAGTTAAGTTAGTTTAATTTAGTTATTTTCTAGTAATGTAAATGAAATTATTTTTAGTAAATATATTACTTATGGAGTTGCAGTTTTAGCTCATTTGATTTTTATAACTATATGGATTATTTATATTTAATACAAATACGCACGGAAAGTATGCAACAATTGTTGCACTATATACCGCCATTTTGACCCATCGCAATACCATTCCAGCCCCATAGCATACCCGTATTGAACCCGGCGGGTTGACCATGGGTCAAACCAGGGCTCTGACATATGTGCCGCCATGGGTTCACCTATGTTCATATATGGTACCAGTGGGTTGACCATAGGTTAACCCTACAGCCCATTGTGACGACCATAGGTTGACCCTATGTCAACCATGTGCTGTGTGGGAATTTGTGAATGAGATGAATACAATTTTGAAACGTGGTGTTGTATTTAAGAGAAAAAAAGTGTAATGTATTAATATCAAAAATTGTATGCGATAGCCCGGCTCGACCTTTTATAACTTATGTAAAAGGTCATGCTGGATATTTTAGTTGGCCGAAGTGCATTGAAGAAGGCATTTTTAAAAAACACGTAGTTTTAACGGAAACTGATGCCATGCTGAGAACGGATCAATCATTTAAATCAAAACAGCACTCGGAGCACCATACTGGTGTATCTATTCTAGAGGATTTGGGGATCGGTATGGTTTCCCAAGTTGCATTGGATTATATGCACATGGTGTGTTTGGGGGTGACAAAGCGCCTAATTGCTCTCTGGATGTGCGGATCTAGATATATTCGCTTTACGGAAGAACAAAAAAAGAATATGAACAATTATATAATAAAGCATAGAAAGTTGCTCCCTTCGGAATTTTCCAGATTGCCTAGAAGACTAGAGTATCACAAACATTGGAAGGCCACTGAATACAGACAATTTTCATTGTATTCTGGATTAGTAATTTTGAGAACTGTATTAAGTAACCAATTGTTTTTAAATTTTCTGCATTTTAGTTTAGGCATTCGAATTCTATATGATCCAGAGGCATGTCTCCACTGGAAGGTTTGGCAGGGGACTTGTTAAAACTTTTTGTTATTAATTATTCTGATTTATATGGATCAGATAGATTAACATTCAATATTCATAATATAATTCATTTAGCTGATGAAGTCAAGAAGTTTGGTTGTTCATTAGACAAATTTAGTTGTTTTCCATTTGAAAATTATTTCAGAAGTGTGAAAAATAAGATTCAAGATTCACCCAAGCCCTTGCAACAATTAGAAAACAGAATGTGGGAACAGAACTGTTTTATAACGTGAGAAAATAAAAATGGAGTTCAACATAAAGAGACGAAAAAAATGCTCGAGCTTTGATAACTTAAGTAA